AATCCCTTGTTAAACGGAGAGTCAAGCGGCAGACACACGACCAATAGTAAGGTAGGAATGAGTCAGCAAGCCAACCAATGAGACTGAGCCAATCGATGTTGCTCACATGGTTACCACACTAGTCGCTTTGGTAATACCAGAAAACATTTTCATCTCATTCGAATCACCGAGGTGTTCGATCTGGTATAAGTGAAACAATATGCGAAGAGGATAGCACTTTAATTACCAAACGACGGTTGGAGCGATGGGCCGATGGGTTCGCAGTTTTGTTGGCCCCCAGCTCCATCTAGAGTTCGCACTGGCGCCGAGTGGTCAAATCCAACAGACCCGCCCGCTTAACAGGAAATAGAGCAGGAGCTCCGCCACATGAAGCGTTAAACATCCCCGGGCCCTGACGGTCATCCTCTAGTTCTATTTGAAGATGGTGGTGTTCGCTGGTTCGATAACTCACTGCGTGTTCTCGAAAGTTTGATCGAAAGATAAGTTCTATCATCTTGGGGTGAATGGACAGTCGGCCTAATCTTCAAAAACCGCCTGCGCACAATCTGCACAGGGGACGATGAAAATGCATCTTGCCTTCATACGGTGCTTATTAACTCCATTAGAGGTTCGAAGTCAAACCACACATATGCGGCTGTTCACTGGTATCCAATCGCGTAGATTACCTTCAGCATGTCTGCTGAGGGCGATACAAAAACCGTAAATGCATTGAGAAATTGACTCGATATCACCAGAGACGCGAACAGTGCACTCATTGTCGTCAGATACAAAACCAGGGAGTTGAAGGTTCATCACCAAGCTGTTATCTTGTATGGGTGTTTCGGAGACACAGCACACATCAAGAGATTGAAGAGTGAAAGCGGTGCCTGCAAACCGATCTGACTCAAAGTGCAAACGTTAAAATAACCAATGTGAAAGGAGAGTCGTGGTTTGATGGACGAATTACGAGTATCGATGGTAGAAGCAGCGAGGTCGACAGCAGATACTTGCTCAATAGACGCGAAAGAAAAGAGTTGAGACGGGAGAGGAAAATAAGAAAAGGGAGAATTGTCGACGTAGTCGAGAGGGCCGAGAATACACTCCGGATGTCTATTCCGAAAGGGGTTTTGTTCGAAGTGCCATGCCTCTAGCCCTTGACACAACAGTCTGACGCACAAGGCAGTGGGGGATTTGGAGGATCGCTTGCGGGACTCCACCCGGAGCGTTTGGCTCAATAGCCTGACCCACAAAACAGTGGGGAGCAAGTTCAGCTCGGGAATGTGATTGTAGAGACCCACTGGGATCCGCCCCAGTCCTGTCACACACAGCGTGTGTAGACTTGGAACAAATCACATATGTTTTATAACCGTAGAACGTTACGCACCTGCGACCACGATCAATCGTAGATGGGAGTTGGCGGGTTTACACCAATTTGACCAGAGGCTGCCTGCTTTGAGGCGGCGGTAACAAACCATTGAACACACGAAGGTGCCATCACACCGTCATAGACAATGCGTGACGCTTGTGCTCCACGCCAATCGAGCTGTGAGCTTATAACCCGTAGATTTTTCGGTTTTTTGAAGCACCCGCCGTGTGTCTTGGATTGCGACGTGCAATCTCACTAGTGGCGTCCACTGACGTTGAAGTCAGCCTCTGCCAATACGGTCACTGGGACCGTCACCGAAGTGGAGGGTTTCGGTGTGGCTCTCTCCTATCCCTGCACTCCACAACCGACGGTTTCGTCTTTGTTTAGACTCATCAGGTAGAGATAGCTGAGCTGGGAGTGGAACTCGGCGCATAGTGCTTGGCGGCTATCGCCATGATCACTAGGCCATTGAGTTCCGCGAGCAGTGTTTGACACAGCGGATAGAAGTAGATTTTCGGGTTTTTGGAGCACCCGCCGTGTGTCTTGGATTGCGACGCGCAATCTCACTAGTGGCGTCGGTTGAGGTTGAAGTCAGCCTGTGCCAATACGGTCACTGGGAACGTCACCGAAGTGGAGGGTTTCGGCGTGGCTCTCTCCCGCGGTGTCAAGCACTGCTCGCGGAGCTCAGTAGCCTAGTGATCATGGCGATAGCCACCAAGCACTATGCGCTAAGTTCCACTCCCAGCCTGGCTATCTCTACCTGATGAGTCTAAACAAAGACGAAACCGTCGGTCGTGGAGTGCAGGGATGGGAGAGAGCCACACCGAAACCTTCCACTTCGATGACGGTCCGATTGACCGTAAAGCAGAGGCTGACTTCAAAGTCAACCGGCGCCACTAGTGAGATTGCGTGTCGCAATACAAGACACACGGCGGTTGCTCCAAAAAACCGAAAATCTACTTCTAACCTCTGTGTCAAACACTGCTCGCGGAACTCAATAGCCTAGTGATCATGGCGACAGCCGCCAAGCACTATGCGCTAAGTTCCACTCCCAGCTCGGCTATCTCTACCTGATGAGTCTAAACAAAGACGAAACCGTCGGTCGTGGAGTGCAGGGATGGGAGAGAGCCACACCGAAACCCTCCAACCCGTAGATCTGTTGTCCCCAATGGCTAGGTTTTAAAGAAAGAGGGCCATCGACCTCTCTCTAACCTCCGAAGAGGATTGGATTATGAGGCTGTATTAGCCTGACCCGTAACCATTGACCAGTCTGGCAGCAGTGACTCTGAAGGCGCTTGAAAAGTACCACAGAGCATAGTTCAATGGGCCACAGTGGTAAGCAAACCATCGCAACACGCAAAGATCCGGTCTCGTTGCGATGATTCAGTTGGTCGACTGCGGTAAGTGTGCGGAGGCAAGATGGCATGGTGCGCTCAATATTTACTCGCCATCTCCAGCATAGAACGCAAGGTGGAATACTGCGTTGGACAAACGTACGTCGACCGACTAGATATGTAACGCTCACGGGAGGAATAGCGGGCTAACAAATAAAGCTTTTCTTACGGATAACGAATCGTCTTGATCGCAATGCGGGCTGAAAAATACCCGTCATCTAGTTCTAACAGGGAAGTTGACTGAAGCCAAAGGAGTAGAAGCAACACGAATGTACCGTCCAGTGACGAAGTTGAAACAAGATTAAGATGGAGGGACGGTAACTTTATACATGTATAAAGCGACAAGGCTCAACATATATGTTTGGTTATATGCGAAGAAACGATGGTGTTGGAACTACATCACAAAGTGAGGTAAGTGCAAACTAAGTAATGTAAGATCTTCCTTCAATCAATGCCAATTCAGGAGGAACAAGGTAGGCCTAATCGTTCACACAATAATCCTAACTTTCCACAATAATCTGCCTCGACGGGGAATCGAACCCCGGTCCTACGAATTTCCGGTCCGCTGCTCTACCACTGAGCTACCGAGTGCTAACGACCAGGTGCGCGATTTAATACATGACTTCTGCTTGGTTCGCGACGTATTGCCAATAAGCTCATAGTATCTGTATTGGTGTTCCAGATTGGCTCACTCACTCGTCACTTCGCAATGAACCGAAGTATCTGTCCTTATGATGTTCAAAGGGCGACGGTAAATTACTGCTGGTTTTTTGTGAGTAGTGTAATGTTAGTAGAAGTCACGATTAAACGAGTGAGTGAACCAATCTGCAACACCAGGACAAATACTGTGAGCTTATTGGCAATACGTTGCGAACCAAGCAGAAGTCATGTATTAAATTGCGCACTTGATCGTTAGCCCTCGGTAGCTCAGTTGATAGAGCAACGGACCGGTAATCCGTGGGTCCGCGGTTTGATTCCCCGTCGAGGCAGATTACTGTGCAAAGTTTAATCGTGGCTGCTACTTTCTACGAACATTACGCTACTCATAAAAAACAACCAGTAATCCTGACATTATTTTTAATACAATAACAGTGGAAGATAGTGACGGGGCTGAGATGATGAGAGAACATGTTTCAGACCGGTAACGTACTAACCCAGAGGCTTGATCACTTCTAGGGCATAAGGAACTAGTGGATGATTCCAATGAAAGTATCCCACCTGCAGCAAACACATGTCTGGTGCGCAACGGCAGTGCCCGAATGCGTTATCTACAGGAGCATTGTGTACACCACAGGCCTCAACAACAGTAGCTCGAAAGCCTGATACGACTGTGGCATATACGAAGCCAGTCAACAATCACACTCATTGAAGTATGTGATAAAAAACCATATGTGACACAGACAAAAGTGGCCGGAAAATGGACAACAAGCATACCGTGAAACGGAGCGAGAAGCGCCAAGCAAACAGCGACTGGGGCTCATTCGGTGGCAAACGGACAGCTAACGGAACCCAATTGAGTAGTTTCACATTGAATTCGTGTGGTCTTGAGTGCCTTGACAGTTGTTGGTTAGGTGGTGCGCAAAAACAATGGCTACAAATGAAAATCTCATTGGTACGTGACAGGAGGCTAGCGAGAGAGAGCGCGAAGGATTCTACAACTAAGTAGATCCCAAGTAACCAACGAAGTGGCGTGAACCGCCAACAAAAAGCCGATTAGGATCGAAAATAAACCATAATCGGGACTAACGAATAGCCGAGTGAGTGATGTGTGGCGACAGCTGCAGAACAACAAACCATTGGGATGCGCAAGCGAAAGTTGAGACGACCCCATGCGGAAGTTTCAATTCAAACGAAAGGTTATATGGAGGTCATATGTGTGAAGACGTCTGAGACATAGGGGAGCATTGTTGCTACTGACTGAAGAGTATGAACACAGAGTCAGAAGTGGGCAAAAGTACAAACCAAACGAATGGATACATAAAAGAATTTCCTGTTGAGGATAATAAACGATAAAAAACGGAGTATTGCCAGAGCGAATGCGTCGAATGACTGGGTTGAAATCCTTCACAAGGGCACTGTTGTTATATGTACAAACTGTGGTGTGCGGAGGCGTGGGTGAGTAGGATGGGCTGTCAAGAAGGGAAAAAGAGCATGTAATTCGCGATTTCATCGATGCGAATGAAAGGCCGTATGAGCCCCTATAGGTCCCCTTGGTCGAAAGCAAACGAGGTCAGACAAGAATGATCACTAGTGTGCCGGATCTATATGGGTGACTGCGGGGATCTGCTTCTTCGTTCTCTGTTAGAAGAGGAGGGCGATGGTGGCATTCGAGAAAGCGCGGCATTAAGACGAGCATTTCTGGCAGCTTCTTTGGCAGCTCGCTCCAAATCGGGATCCTCGTCATCCTCATCATTCGCCGCTTGTTCGCGTGCCATTTTCGCCGCCATAAACTCATTGTAGTGGAGTCTACGTTTTTCGCGAAATTGACGCTGATGTTCCGCTTCCGCTGGATCTGTCTGTTCCAATGTCTTGGCGGCACTGGGCTATACGGGAAGAAACAGAACGGAGGATAATAGTAGGAGCAATGAAACGAGTGGTAATATTGTAAGATCATCGTTTAAAATTTGAGTAGAAGTGAATAGCGTCATGGCAGCATGTCAGCTGGATTGAACCGAAGTGTGATGGATGCGGTTATCATGGTCCACGTAGCGGTGGCATCAAAAATAAGCTACGGTTAGGGAAATGAGAGAAAAAGTAAACATGTTTGATGGAAAGCAGCGATACAAAGAATGTAAGAACACAGGAACCATGAATGTAGTCCAATGAAGAGCCAGTGTATCATGATAAGTCGAATGTGTGTGCGGTTTTGTAAATACACGGCCGATGTCCTCTCTATCGTGTACACTAAGTAATCGTGACATAATGGCGCTTAAGAGCAGAAACATTGAGAAAGGAGAGAGGAGTGAAATTCCGATCAAACACTGCCGAATTGAAAACAGGCCGTTCAAAGTTCTGTGCATGTAGTATTAGCACACCAAGCATAACCGAGCAACCCAAACCATGACGTTTTCTTTTAACGATCTTTCGATGCTCTGCCCGTCGTAAAAGAAAGTCAAAGTCCCCCCTATCTGCTGCATCGAGCAGGGTGGATAGGGGTTTGGATGCTACTGCTCAGGCCTTCCCGTCTCCTTATACCCCTTCTTGCGATTTTGCATCATTATCGTCCCGCTCCAACTTCACTTTCACCCTACCCCTTTTTCAATCCCCCAATTCTTGGCCCTCCCCCACCTTGTTTCAATAATCGCTTGTCTTCTAGTTCCAACTCATACACAATCGCAGAGCGTCGCTCCAATCCAGTCGACAACTCCATGTTCAACCAAGCGGACAAAGTCAGGTCATCAGCTTCTATTTGGAGCTCTCGATCCTCGCTAAGACTGGAATGCCTCAACATGTGCACTTTGTTATAGATTGGCCAACAGGAAGCACTTGCACGAACACTAGAGGCCCCTATCGATCGATATTTGCTGTTTATCGGAAACGCGCCTACAAGATTCGAGCTCTGTGCTTACGCTGCAATCCCCTCAAGCGACACCGGCGGCACATTCTCATTGCGCCTGTCTGGCGATGATGCAGTTTCAAATGCAGTCCAAGCCGGCGTCGGCATTGTTTTGAGTCCCCGAGCTAAATCACTCCTGATCGATTGGATCCCAGTAAACAGCGGGATGTGCGCCGTCAGATCAACTGGCTTGTTTCAGGCTTCGAAGTCGCGCGGGGACAAACGGTGCCTGTTTGTCATTGCGGCTTTCGCCCCACAAACTGCCGTCCTGATTCAGAGAAAGATGATTTCTATCACCAACGTAACCATCAGTCAAGCAGTCAAAATGACTGCTTCGGGCGTCGTTATGTCATCAGTTTCTACATTCGTAAACATTTCACGAATATACTTCATGACTTTCAATACTTTTATCCACATTTTATAACTGTAAAGTGTCAATTTGATATTTGTCATAGATTCCAGAAAAAGAAGAGCTGTATTCTTGTTATCTAGAAAGTGTGTAAGCGGTCACAATGATCGCACTGCTCTAATTCGGTTTCTATTTTCCTGTTCAAATGACACCTTTATTCACAGTGGCTCTTAAGAGAACAGCTGATGAGGTTTTACAAGAACTTACATCTGTCGGCTATAACGAGTGTGGAGACAAGAATGGATGGGATGTTGATTTAGGTATCCAAGGAATCTGCAGGAGAACAGAGCATCTCTGATAGTCAAAGTCCTGAGAGTCACACACTCCTTATGAGGAAAATGGTGATGACGAAAACCAGTAAAAGGTGTCAGCTGTTTCTGCAAATTCCAGTGAAGTTCAGTTATCAAAAGATGGTACATTATGGACTGTACTAGATTTCCAAACAACTACTGTTGGTAGGATGGCAGCACAGAATGTTTCCAAGGCAAGACCAGAACCAGCTGCCTATGCAAATAAATGTGTGAAATATGGTGAGTTCTCTAGTGCGTTAGACATCATAATTACGTCACAGATGCTTAAGCTGAGGCCAAAAGAGTCTTAGGTGTCAGTGCAACATAAGTGGTTTCTACTTTTCATTGGATTACTTTACATACCAATGAATTGAATGCTGTGGTGCGATAAGTACGGATTGCTTATTTTCAGGGAAACCATTGGCAAGAACAGATTCAAGGAAACAATACGGTCCCTTCATTTCGTTATGCGAACTACTATATATATATATATATATATATATATATATATATATATATATATATTCTTGCAACAGTATATGAATAGACATGGGGCCATCAGAAACCATGTAACACAAAAGAAGGCACAAAAATTGTAAAGGAAAACATAACACAAAAGATTAAAGTCCATGGTTTCGTCAGAGGGCGACATACTACCCGGTTACCCAAGCCGAAGTAGGGTGTTGACTTAGGGGACACCACCCCCAGGCCTTTGGCTGAATAGCCTGTCCGCAAGGCAACGGAGCGAATTCAGGGAATCGCGCCTATTGGGAGCCGGTGACTGATTGCTCAGTTCATACGCCTTTCGTTTGTTCCTTTGTCAAACAGGGGCCCAATGCCCCCCAGAATTACAGCACAAAGTTGCTGGAATACAATGCTTTGCCAGGATGAAACAAGGGGCAGTGACTTTATTTAGTGGCGAGTCACATCCTCCACGTCACAGTGTTGTTAAACGGATATATGTGGGTTTTTATAGGGAGAACGCTTGCCAGGCGAAAACCCACCACGTCCTGGAACACTGCGAGCTACTAGAGATGAAAGACTGCAGACTGACGAATTTGTTTTGATATCGGAATTCTGGAACGTATTTAATCGCAACTCTAAACAGTGCTATGTGTGTCAGCACAAAACTTCACCGTCGATGAGCAGTTGTTTCCCACCAAAACTCGTTGTCGTTGCGCTCAACGACCTGATAAGTTCAATATCGAGTTTTGGATTCTTGTAGAAGTAGACATCAAACATTTTGTAAACGGATTTCCATACCCCGGAAAGAACGAATCTCGGCTGCATGGAGAAAATGTTCTCGAGAGCATGGTATTGAGCCTTATGTCACCCTTGTCGGGAACGGGTTAAATGGGTCACATGTGATAAGTTTTTCACATCGGAAGCATTGAGAATAAGACTCAAAGAAAAAGGTAAATATGGTGGGGAACTATTCGAGCTAGTGGAAAGGAAATGTCAAGGAGGTTGAAGCAAAGAATTAGAGTCGATTGGTTCAGTTACTATGATGATTACAAACAAACACATGCTGACATCCCACCGGGCGAAAAAGGAATAAGAATGTTTTGGTTCCCAGTTTCTTGTGCGGTAGCTCTTCCATTCAAGAATCTAAGGAGAATAAGCCTAAAACTGTGTTGTTTTACGACTCCACGAAGTATGAGGTAGATCATACTCAACCAAATAGCAAGAGTATGCACAGTCATGTCATCACCATGGCCATTACAAGTATACTTCAAAGTGTTGAATTTGGTAGGTATTAATTCCTAGATACTTAATAATAGTTACTCTGGAAATAAATTATTCCGCCGATAGTGTCTGATGAGTATAGAGGAAGAACTGCATGGACCTATGCATGAGACAAGGAAGGTGACAACTGGACATACGTCGAACACCTCAACTCAGCCGGAAAGTCTGGTGGGAACACCGCGTGAGCAACGAGCGTGTTCGACGCTTTGTTTACGGCACGGGAAAAGGAAATGAACCGCTCAGCACCGTTAGTTCACGCACTAGGCTCCGATGACTCGGCCACGCGTTACGCATGCCAGCCCACCAACTCCCGAGACGTGCGTTGTTTGCACGCCGGGGGTGTGGATGGAAGAAGAGGAAGGGTGGCAAAGCGATGACTTGTTCCAGAGGAATGAAGGCCCTGACTTCCTAGCTGGCCTTAGTTGGAGCGTCTCGGCTCCCTGGTTGGGGTCCGAAAGACGATGAACACGTTTGGTTGGATACACCTGTTGATATGACTTGGAGCCGACCTCAGTGGCGTTCGTGCTGTGAGTTTCTTTGTCCCACCCTATTCCTCTTGGCCTCCAGCTCTAACTATGATCTCATTATTTAACATTGTATAATTTTGCATAGTAACTTTTTCCTTTTTGATGCATAGTAGTCGCCTGGTAGCTTAACGGAACAATACCCATCCGTTACCGGTAGCTCAGCTGGCCTGCACCTGTAGCGTTTTATTCCCTTTTTTCTTTTATGTATTGCGGCACAGTAGCTGAGGTGCTTCCCACCTCTAGCTAACGTGTATAGGGTGTGTGAAGTAAACGTCGGTATTGTTAGGTTGGTTAATGTAGAGGCAACAAGTCAAAGAATACGTGCTATGTAAGTGAAAAATAGCTTGTAGTTATGTGGACAAATTGAGAGAGTTGTCACCTGTTTCAAGTGGAAAATTGAATAATGAGTGAAACTAGTTTTGACTTATTGAAAAAGTTAAAGTTCTATACAATTATTCCTCAGCTACTAATATGTCTATATCTTTTCATTAACATATGTAATTCAAAAATAAAGGTTGAAGTAAAGAAATACAATAATGCGGTCAGCTTTCAGTCTCGGGAGTTCTAGGTAGGACGGAATCTTCGTTGAAATAAAACAAAAGTGGGTTCAGCGTTCCCCACAGAACATTCTAGATGCTCTCATAAAAATAAATTAATCTACCCTCAAAACGTCAGGGCAAAGAGGAAGGGTTAATGTAGGGTTTTAACAGATATAGCTGTAATTAGGCAAGCCAATATATTACGTTCATGATGCATTGATTCCTAGTTGCGATGGACTCGGGTTTAACTGTGAAAGTCGCTGGTCCTCTTCGCTAGCTAGGCGTAGAATCATTGGCTGATGGTGTGATGGAAAAGGTAGAATGTGTTGTGCGATAAATTGGATGGGAATACATATATGTATGACCTAATGTAAATATGTACCGAACGATGACGTATGATGTTTCTACACCCTGGTGACACAGTAGGCCGGCTTAACTGCTCAAGAAACGAGGACCCAGTAAGTACATTAACTAGA